ATCGGGCAACATGAAAGTAAAGTCACTGAGGTGCCAAACAATGGCTGTAGGAGGCCTTTGATTCTACTCTCTGTCTTCTAGAACTTGCATCTGTATTTGTGCCTAAAACTACAAACTTTTTATATAAAATTGCATAAATTAAAAGCATGCAGAGAAATCCAAGTTTGCATACTCATTCTCAATATTTGGCCAAGTAAATATCTCTATTTGGGAGTATAGGCTATCAGGCCTGACTTCCTATCAATACCAGGTGCCTGGTTCTCTTCCCATTCCAGCTTGTAACTGTAGTGTATATGAGAGGATAGTGTGGAAGCATAAGCCAGCTGTGGCCAGTTACAGACTTCTATTTCCCTGGCATTTGTGCTCACACAGATGGGCTCATTTGCCAGTCTAAAATTTGCAAAGTTAATGGGAGACTATGCTGAAGTTTGGGGATTGTTGTGATAAGGCAATACCTGCATCAATCTTGCTACTATAAAATGAGGACAAGATTTTGGAGCTGGTAGATCTTTGGGGAAATAGAGAATAATAATGAGAGGTCTATAGATCCCTGGAGAAAGGGTATCACAGGGGGCTATATAACTCTGATTGCATCCTCTTTCTGTTTCCTCATTCTGTTTCTGTCTCAATAAGTAAGCCACCCTCCAGACATTACCTCAACCATACATTTCCTGCCATGCAGCCTAAGTGATTAAACTACCTGATCTTGGATCGAAAACACAGCCCAAATAAACCCTTTCTACAGGTTAATTGGGCCATGCATTGTATTACAGTAACACAGACCTGATGGATACACCTATCTGGAGTTGGGTTCTTACCACCTTCAAGTGAAATATCCTTGACAGGTAAGGTGAATAGCCTTTATGTTACATAACAGCTATGCTGTTTAGATGTTCTTTGTAAGAAAATAATACCGGATAAGAAAAGGAAACAATAATTACTAAGGAAAAATAGTTATTAAGAATTTCATGTGAATAACATCGTTGTAAAGATTTCACAAATATAAAGAAATTTAAAAAGTAGTTTCATACACATTCAGATCGTTTAAAAGGCTGTTTGTCTGTAAATCTGTCGTCACATGATAATTATTTCAGTGCCCTTTAAAAATAATAGAGCAGGATTTTAGCATCCTCTGTTGCCTAAGCAAAATTTACTTTATGCTAATTTTTTGGTAGACCAAACTATGTTTTTCTTAAGTTTACAAACAAGTATCAGTAAGTACATTATTTTTCTACTATAGATCTATTGTTAACCCTGAGAAGTCTCGTGTGAAGATATGTTCACTGTAAGATACAAACTGTAAGTTTCTGTGTGTTTCAAGGAATCCTGTGTAAAATACTCATCAAATATCTTTTGAGTTGCTGCTACTCCCATCCCCCCAATAGTTGCCGATGTCCCAATTATAGTGATGTAGCTGGAATTTTATGTCATCTTTGTCAGTGGCAATATTTTATATCATATTAATAAGAAGATTATTTCCAATATGTTTGGAGAATTAACTTATCCTTATGAACTTATTACACAATCCAAGGAATTATTTTAGATGGGTTTATAAATATGTAAGACAAAGTTTCAAGAGCAGAGAAATTTGTATTTGAAATATGTGTTTTATCTTGAACGGTGTGGAAAAGAATCTAATTGCAATTAGAGTTTCACATTTCTTGTAATTGGGAGAATTTTCCTCAGTCTACCTTCTGGCTTGGTATACAACAAACTCCCTTCCTTCCTGTTCTCAATGTATTTTGTTTGGTATTGAGCATGCTGTGGTCAGATTGCTGTTATCCTTGGACTTTTCACTTCCTCCCACATAGTAAGTCAGCAACAGGTTGAACAGGAAGGGGGATGCTAGATCCCATTCTCAATCTAACCTTTCCTGAATCCCCAAACTGCTCACAACCTATCCAGTATGATCAAACATGAAGAAATATGTGAGGACAGGGCATCATAGTGGAAACAATGACATGGTTAAATGATTATAGTTAGAGCTGCTTATTTTTGCAAATTTCATAAAATTTCTTACCCAAGATGAAGCATCACAAGCCATACTCAGGATTTTAGAAAGAGTTCACATAAGCAGAGGACCTGGAATCTTACACTTAATCAACTTTAATAAACATTTACCTCTGTGGGTAGCATATGTGACTTGGGAGTGCTTAACAATTATAGCACCTCTAATTGGAGTTCATGGACACTATTGACATACCAGCAATCAGAAACATACTGTTTTTAACTCTCTCATTGGAAGAACTCAAGGGAAATCCTGAACTATGACATTGTCACACAAGGCACAGCTGATATGTTTGGTGTCCCAGCGGCCTCCTGACAGCTTAGCATCAACACAATGAGTACTGACACTTGCGGGGCCACAGTGGGTGAGATGCCATCTCAGGTCACATCAACAAGTGTGCGATGCTCTGGCTTTGGAAACAGACATGAGGAATTATTTTTGGCAAAGCCAGTCTTTTCCTCTTCGTCAGCATCGCAAGATTAGGCTCCCTTGTCTAAATATTTTATATATCCCCTTATTTTCTTTCTAGATGCTGGACTGTGGTCTTAGGGACTGAGTGACTTACATCTGTCACCTTGAAAATTAACAAAGGGCCTTGGATCATAGAAGATAAATGCTAATAATAGGGGATTTGAAGGAGCTTTGTCCTAGGTCATTGGAGGTCACATCCCAAGAAAGATTTATGCTGATCTACCAGTGAAGAGCAATTGAGGATTAGATTTTTCAATTTAAGAACTCAAATGGAGCCAGGGGATTTAATCAGATAGTCTCCGTGTGCTTCACTGGTTACCAGCAATCTCTAGATCTGTCAGTTATGTGGCTATATGAAGAGTGATTCTTGGTAATTCTCAATTCATCTAGTCAGATTATCTCCTGTCTGAATTCAAACTGACAGGAGGAAAACAGACCAGAAACTTGAATGCTTTATTTGGAATGCCATGTTTTCCCATGATTTTGTCCTCCAAATAGGTCTTCGGAGAAGTTTATGAGCATATAATTGAAGGGCTGGAAGCATGGAGTTTATGAGAATATAATTGAAGTCCCAACATGAATGAAGGCTTGACATCTGCTTTGGCACAGGGTTTGTCGAAAGGGCTTTTTCAGTAGCATCACTTAATAGTAGAGATGTGCACATCACTGTTCACCCAAGTTTAGTTTACTGGGGGGACACTAAGCAATGTCAGTTTTGGAGTTCTACAGGCACCTTACTAGACTCAAGCACAAATCTCCTTTCAGAAAAACTAAAGGGGGCATGGAGCTGATGATCCCTGAGCCCGTAAACACAATACCTTGTCCAGATAATTCTAACAGTTTACCTCATTAGCCTTGAACATACATGTTATGGTCATTAGCGTAAACTTTGGCATCAGATCGATACAGGTTCAAGTTTTCCAGAGGGGACACTTTAGGCCTTAATCACTTTCAGATTAATTTCCTCATTAAATTCTGCTCTTTATTTCGTATTCCAGAGATTAATTGTAGCAAAGTGGATTACAATGTCCTTGGCTGGGATGAACATAGAGTAGCATTCAGAAAATGTTTGCTCTGGGAGTCAAGTTGTGCACCTTGTTTGGAATTAGGATGATAGTGGTCTCACTCAATGAGCTTGTTAGTAACAGACACCCTGTAATCAACAGTACCTCTGCTCACAGCCAAATAGCTTCTACTCATAAAGAATAGGAAGAGAATCTTGGTAAAACTGGATTCACTCTTTCATTCCAAGTGGAATCTATGAAAATTGAGATGAGGCTAAGAGACATTAGAAAGGATGCCACATTGATGGCACCTGTAGGACTCAGATCAATTACAAAGGCAGATAGATGTAACTAGAGAGGGAATCCATACTATGTTGCTTAGTCAACTAATTTTATTAATTTTTTAATTTAATTAATTAATTTAATTAATCAACTAATTTATTAATTATGCATTCATATTCCTGGAAATTATTTGTTATGAGATATTAGTAGAAAAATCAGGCGCCAGTTATTCAGAACTAGTGGAAAGAGCTGTAAGTTCTATATAAAGAAGCATCTCTCCCACGATAACCCCAAATAACAAGGTGTTTAATTAGAAAATTCATATCAATGAGATGGCGCAGTACTGGCAACTAAAAGCGATGTTTGAATTCCATCCCTGGAACCCAGGTGGCAGAAAGAGAATGTGTTCCCGAAAGCTGTCCTCTGACCTCCGTATACATGGGGTGACATGCGTGTGCTCAAGTTAATATATATTGTATATTATATATTAATAATATATAAGAAAGAAAGAGAGAGAAAGGAAAAAAGAAAGGAAGGAAGGAGAAATAAATTAAGAAAGAAACAAAAAAGAAAGAAAGAAAGAAAGAAAGAAAGAAAGAAAGAAAGAAAGAAAGAAAGAAAGAAAGAAAGAAAGAAAGAAAGGTCTTAATTTGGAACAAAAATATATCCCCCGAAGGGGATTAAATCTAGTCATTGATTTATTTCTTTTTCTCAGTGACTATGGTTGATACCTTTTTTTTTTTTTTTTGAGACAGGGTTTCTCTGTGTAGCTTTGCGCCTTTCCTGGATCTCACTCTGTAGACCAGGCTGGCCTTGAACTCACAAAGATCCGCCTGCCTCTGCCTCCCAAGTGCTGGGATTAAAGGCGTGCACCACCACCACCCGGCTATGGTTGATATCTTAAGAAACATTTACTAACATAAGTTAGGATGCTCTCATACAAACCTCATACATTTGCTGTTTCTGCTCAAATTTAATTCAAGCCTATGTGTTACCTATGTGTGCTTTTTTCTAAGCTCACACCATATTTTAAGCACTTTTCTAAAAAATAATGCTACAATGATATGAGGTTTGTCATTAATTTGTGGAGATACCTACTTTATTTCCAGTTAGTGGCAGATAGAAGTAGCTACAACCACATGAGGTAAGTAGTTGGACTGTTTTTAAATAATGTACTGGGATCATTTTTTAAATGGTGGTGTTCAATGCTTCTCTATAGCAGAGTCAGGTAATGTCATGCCTTCTGTTTATTTTGTAATAGATGCTGTTCTGCTATGGGAGCTATCAGCAGAGGTCTGCTCATTGGTAAGACATTTTAACAAAGGTGAAGAGTTTGCATGCATTTGCATGTTGGATACAGGCAGTGCAGAGATGACAGAAATAAGCCTGGGTGATGTGGTAGGAGAAAGGGGAGAGAATTGCTTGTACAGAGAGTAGGGTACCAGTTTGGGGTAACTTTAGAGCATAGCTCAGGTCACAAGATGGGCATTTTTAATCATCTCTTTTTTTGCTGTTATCAAAATCAAAATTGCACCTCTGATATAATAATAAAACCTAGGTGTTTGAATTTTATTATTAATTAATTAATTAAAATTTCCAAGCCAGGGGTAACTCACTGCTGGTCCCCTGTTCCCTCTCCTCTCTCCTTCCTCCCAGTTCCTTTCCCCATCCTCCCCTCTTTTCTCCAATCCACTCATGATTTCTATTCAGAAAAGTGAAGGCCTTCCTTGTGTATCAGCCAACCATGGCATCCTAGTCTCAATCTGAATTCTTACTCCATCGGATAAAATACTAAAATGTGTAAAGCTTAGATATGAATGCAGATAGCAAAGCTGTCCCCATGGTTTACTAGGGGACATTAAAGAAAGTAGGAGAGACAGACTGAGTTGTACCTTCACTGCCACATCAAACTAGTCACGTTAAAGCCACTCTTAAGCTCAAGATGGCAGGGAGAGACATTGTCACAGTTCCACAGGTGGGCCCCAGGGAGGTCTGTGAAATTTCGTGTGTTTTTAGTTCTCTGAAGAAATGGATCCTCTGATTTATTATATGCTCCAAATTCTGCCACTCAGAGAAAGGATATGTCCTACTCTCATGGAGATCAAAAAATGAACAGTGAGGGATTACAGCATTATTGAAGTAGGAGGAGAATTAGGAAAGCTACAGGGACAGAGAGATGAATCATAAATGTAGCTGCAATGTGACACATGAGGTCTTAAAAATCACTGTTCTGTCAGAAGCAGAAATCTGGCCACTCTGATCTTCATTCCTTGTTAGGAATATGTCATGCTACATGGGTAATGGTATTTTGAAGATGTAATTAAGGTTATTAATCAATTTATTTTTACAGTCTTTGTTTTGTTCATGGCTAGGGTTTTAATCTGGGTCCCTGGTAGTTGCCTGGGAAGTGCTCTAACTCTGAGCTAAATTCCCAACCTCAACTTTAAATTTTTAAATGAAGAGAAGACCCTGGATTTTTTTCTTGGTGGGACCACTGTACTCACCTAGCTCTTATAGCAGAGACTTTTCATGATGACAATAAAAGAAGTCATGGAGGTACACATGCACTGGAGGATGGAGAAATTTAAAAAATAATGAGGTTTTCCTTCTGCTGTGGCTTCATTCATAGATGGTGGAGGAAACACCGAACCAAGACATGGAGATGGCCTCCAACAGTTCAGAAGCCCTAGTTGGCAATCACTTCAACATCACAATAACACAAAACAGATTTTTCTTCAATAACCAAAATGATCCTTAGGTATATTCTACCCTAAGCACTCCTCATAAGAGTACAACCTGACGAACAGGAGCTTGATTACACCATGAGACACTAAGTGGATGCTCTGCTTGAATTCTATTGTGTATGGGTATTTGAATCCAGAATCTGAAAGGTAGCATTATATTACTTCAAGAAGCATATTCAAAGTTGTCAAATCACCAAAGAAAGCAATATAGTACAATATTCAAAATTTGTACTATGAAAATTAAGGAAAATAAAACCCAGGCCATTCTAAATCCTGTGACAAAATATAAACAAAATAGGGGCCACAGTTAGACTGTGGACATTATTGACAGAATGATTGCATCTCAAACAAATAATAAAGTAGCAGGAGAGTGATCTGAAATTAGAACGTATGTGGATAAGTAAGACTATAACATGTGAGGTGAGATCACAGGTACATGTGTAAGGTATGTGTGGTGTATGTGTGTGTGTGTGTGTGTGTGTGTGTGTGTGTGTGTGTGTGTGTAGTGGTGATTTATTCTTATGTGTCTCAGTATAGTCCTCCTGCATTCACCTGGTGTGAATGTGAACAAAATCACGAAGAAGCCAATGTAAAATTTCCAAACTATGCACTTTATCCAAGCTGCTAATATATCAATTGCATTGGAACAAATTAACTGCTATTAACTGTAATAGCAATGCTGACTTGATGTAAAAATAATGACAATTGAAAACCTGACACAACTGGCTATGTGGCAGCCAGTGTTAAATTCTTATCAATCATTCTGACAACTAGACCAGCTATATTGTTGTACTTTGGGGAGATACTGCAGCTCTGAAGAAGACCTCATGTAAGCACAGGTAATTCAGTAGGTCAGCTTTACCAGTTGGCTTCAGTTCTTCAGTCAGTATACCTTCATTCATACAAAGGCAGATGATACAAATCCAAGTCACCTCTGAGAGCCATACTTTGATTTTTCAGTGTCCTGACTGGTGTAAAATCTCTCTATAAATCTTTTAAACAGAATTTCACTCTGGTATGGTTCTAGCCCTCAAACAATTAGTTCTTCTCATTGATTGCTTTTCTACATGATTGCCTCTGCAGAGTTTAAAGGAAGTAGTCTTTAGGAGGACAATTCCAGATACTGTTTCCTGGCCAGGGGCAACCATAAAGGAGAAAAAAACCCAAGAATTTAGTTTAAAGAGAAAGATATACACTATAAACATAAATTACAAAACTCAGCTTTATTTTATGACTTCAACAACTTGGAAATGTGCCTGCAATTTCAGTTCACCTGCTTCATAGCTTTACTTGAAGCTCTGCGTGTAGGGAGCAGCTTGTCCAACTCAAGATAGTTTGAGGTAAGAACATAGGTTCTCTAGCATCATTTATTGTGAAATGACTATATATATAGTACGTAAATCTCAGGAAACTTCCAGACTTTGCACATGAGTAGCCTGTTTTTGTTTTCATGATCATGTTTTATAATAGCCTTTGCTATTTTTCAGTCATCATTACTTACTTGTCTATGACCAAGAGACTAGACACACCCTAACAATGGCTGGTAAAAAAAAGGCGGGGGGAGACAGAACAGACAATGAACAAGATACACACTTAGTCTACTTATAACCTCATTATCTCCTAATCCAAATAAAGTCTTCCCTGAAAACCCACATGCTCTGCAATATTCTCTTTCTTTCTACCACTCCTGTGTTTCCAAGTACTGGGCTCCTACGTCATAAATATCATCGAGTCACTCATTATTTTTGAAAAGATGAACCTCAAGGTGTTGTTCAAAAGGAGTGCAAGAGGCTGCCCCATTTTTCCTGTGTGGGAAAATTCAAAGCTAGCCCTATGTCTGTTTCTGGCTCAAAAAGAATCAAGTGTCCTCAGGCTTTCGAGTTCATTCCAGATGATATGTCATCATCTTCCATCATCAAAAAAGCTAAGTGGTTTCCATAGCAACTGCCTCCTCAAACCCATCAATTTTTTCTGGTAGTATCACTTCATTCTGTTTCATGGATCACATTATGGATTTTAAAAAATAATACTAAAACTCTGACAAAATAAATTTAGGGAAATATCAACAGGCAAAAACTAAAATAAAACCACATAATAATACCCACTATATGCTGAGCATAGTAAGTTTCAAGAGAGAACTTTCCAACGTAATTTGGATTTAGAGTGTTAATGAAGATTTGACATAAAGAATGGTATTTTAAGACCATAGGCTTGAATCAAGGAAGAGCCAGTCACACAGAACAGAGATTGCACCATGGTCTGGGGACAGCCAACTTCCTCTTGCATCCCTCTTCTTCTCTGATAAGCATACGGTCGCTGGCACTGAAACAGAGTTAAGCTAAAGTTATAAATTAGGTTTCCAGTAGGAAAAGCTGTCTCTCACAGAGTTCAGAGCTGAGCTGGGAGCAGGGCCAAGTGCTCATGAAGCAATTCTGGAAGGTTCAGCCAGAAAGGCATGAATTTCTGTCCTTCCATTACTCACAGCCCTGCACAACTGGCATATCATTGAATCGGGATCCTCTGGTACATGGCGGCATTTGAAGTGGCTTGGCCAGTATCCATCTGTCTCATTCCTCTCAGCTACATTTCTATTACCATTGTAACTTTAGTTGGTATGAATTTAATGAGTGTCCACTTCCTCGTAGTCCTGGTGCTCTCATTTTCTGAATCCCAATGCTACTTTACCATGTCTTCTCTAATATAGTTTTCTCATATTTGTGATTGTCAACCTCACTAGGTTATGAATGCTTTGGAGGCAAGGAAGACATATTTCATTTCTCCTATAGTATATACTTGTCTTAGTTGAGATCACTGTTGCTGTGAGGAAACACCATGACCAAAGCAATTTGGAGAGGTAAGAGGTATTGCAGCTTGTGCTTCCACCTCACAGTTCATCATTAAAGAAAGTCAGAACAGAAGCTAAAACAAGAGAAAAACCTGGAGGCAGGAGCTGATGCAGAGGCCATGAATAAGTACTGCTTACTGGCTTACTCCTCATGGCTTACTCAGACTGCTTTCTTATAGAACCTAGGACCACCACCAGCCCAGGGGTGACCCAAGCAAAACTGACTGGACCTTTCCCACCCATCACTAATTAAGAGAATGCCAGACAGCCAGATCTTATGGAAGCAGTTTCTCAGTCAAGGCTCCCTCTTCTCGGATGAAGCCAAGTTGACATAAATCTATCTAGAACAAAGCTACAATGGGTATTTCTCTAGATTCCTAAGGACTGTATCTGTGTGAGCTCTGTGCATAGGGAGGACAGAATAATGTTTAGGTGAGGCTCCCACCTGTCTTAAATAGATGCAGAGCCAGGGACCAGGAAGATTATCATGGTAACATGGAGACACGTGGTGCACCATCATATAGAAACTGGTTCCTTTGTCGTGAGCCCAGGAAACTGTCAAGGAAGGTCAATTTCCTGGGAAAGATTTTCTTGCTGTGCCATGTCTGTGACGAAGAAACAAAAAGTTTTCATGTCCAAAGAAAGGATCCCTTGGAGAAATAAGAGGGCTGCTCTGCCAAAGAGTTACAAAAGAAAGAGAAACCTATGTGAAAATA